AGGATGCAAAGATATCATATACAATATGTTTTGTATAGGTTTAAAATGATTATTAGTATTATCAGGTAGAATAGGAATCTTTCGTGCAGAGCTTTTTTTATATTTATTGTGCTTTAATGCTCTACGTTGATTATTCTTCTTATGATTAAATGTCAGATAAAGCCCATCATCATCATGGCATGATATATCCTTAAAGTTTATTCTTTCAGCATCACCACTGCGAAGACCACAAAAAAGTAACAGCCAAAAAAATATCCATCTCATTAAACCTTCATTAGTATTAGTTTGCATTTTATCATGGTCAAGAATTTGAACAATCTCTTTAGCACTTAACGCAGATGTCTGATCCATTTCTTCTAACCCTGCATTCTGAAGTTTCTTTATCTTACCATCAAGTTTCTCAACACTTTTCCAAAATAATAAGAATCTCACAGCTTACATGGCTTAATTTCACTGTTTTCTTTTAGGTACTGAGCTATAGAAGCATAGCAATTGTGTATACTCTCTGCTTTGTAGTCTTTGCTATCCAAACGTTTCAGCCAAATGAGAAACCTGCAAAGAAAGTTTTCCAATTCTATTGCCATTTCAATTTTATCAATACCTTTGTCATACTTGATAGTTACTCAAAATCTGTCAACTGAACATAGCCACTTTAAAGTGCACTTGTCAGTATTTTCTACATGCAAAAGTTGTTGCAATTCAAGTACTTCTTCGTCAGTAAATGCATTGGTGCGGTTCTTTTTGTCTATTTTTTTTTGCTAGGAAAAAAAAAAATCGATAAGGTTAGAAGTTGATCGATCTAAAATTGCTTACTAATAAAAAAGTCTAATTTATTAATAAGGGAAGTTTATTTGATTACATAGTTGCACAGATTGTTACATTGTACCTATGAAATAACAAAAAATTATCAGTATTGCTAGTATCGCCAGTTTTATCAGTATTACTAATATCACCAGTATCATCAGTATCACTAGTATTATCAGTATCACTAGTATTGCTAGTTTTATCAGTATTACTAGTTTTACCAGTATTACCAGTATCATCAGTATCACTAGTATTATCAGTATTACCAGTTTCACCAGTTTTACTAATACTACCAGTGTTACTAATATCACCAGTATTACCAGTATCACCAGTATTACCAGTTTCACTAGTTTTACTAATACTACCAGTGTTACTAATATTACCAGTATCACCAGTATCACTAGTATTGCCAGTATCACCAGTATTGCTAGTATTACCAATATCACCAGTATCACTAGTATTACCAGTATCACCAGTATTATTAGTATCACCAGTATCACTAGTATCACTAATGTTAATTAGTAATTGGTGATTAGTGAAAACTGGTGCAACTCCATAATTAAGTTTCACCAGCAACTCTAATTAGAACTAACTATACCCTACTATATAAAAAATGGTATCAAGAAAGAGACAATCTCTTCTCTTTTCTAAAAAATATATTACAATCTATTAATATTAAGAATATATAATAAATACTAAGTGTTTGTTAATAGAATTTCTTCTCTAAATACAAAAAAATATATATCTCAGTAATAATAAACTCACTATAGATTGCATTAAACAAAACAAGTTTTACCAATATTCTAAATATTGCCTTTTTTTTTTACAAATTTGCTAATATAAAAGTTAATACATCCAAATCTACTTTAATTTTTTATTTTTATTTTTTTCTCTTTAGACAGTCATGCTAGTATTTTATTAAGATTTATAAAATTACTATTGCAATTACATAGATGTACCTAACAACTAAGTCTAGCATTACCCAGTCATCCTAATGGTGTCTAAGTGCAACCTGTCACATTATTTCAAACAGAAGTAAGCTGCTTGTCTAACTACTTAAAGTCCATAATAAAAAGGTTTTTCTCTTTTCACAACAAGCCTCAAAATTGTCTTTCTGGCTTTATTTTCGATTTATTTTTTCTTCTCTTTTAATTATTAAGCAAGAGGATTCTATAATCCTTAACTAAAGAACAACAGGATATAAGAAAAAAAAAACCAAAAAAGAAATAAAAAAAAAGAAAGAACTAACTACAAAATCTAAACATAAACTAAAAGAAAAAAGAAAAAAATAAAAAAAAGAAAAAAAAACAAAAAAAACAAAAAAAACATGAAGGCACTATTTTTGCCTATGCTTGGCTTTAAAAAATTCTATATAATACTAAATAAAAAATACTTCATATTTGTTTTATCTTTGTATTATAATATATTTCATTTGTTATATAGAAAAAATAGTTGAAGTTTTTATTTTCCTCTTGAGTTTGACACATGTCATCTATCATAGGTCCAATACTCATATTGTAATTTTCTCATAACTAATATTACCAATTTGGAAAAATAAACAGTGTTAATTCTTTAGAGGGGGTATGTCAGATTTTCTACTTTTTGATAAAAATTTCAAGAAAAAAATTTAGTAGTGAGGATGAAAAGGAAAACCAACTTAAGAAGGAGTTGTAAGAGTTATGCTATATAGAATATTAGATTAAAACAAGTAACTATTTAGGCCTAAGCCTTTATAGCACTTGACAAAGCTTCAGAGCTTATCTACTACTTCTTTACTTGTTAGTACTCATGTTTTATGTTAAGAACTTCACTTACAAGGATTCGAGTCTTTTTCAGCTCTTTTTAGTTACAACCAACATGCAGTGAATAGTCTTCTAATTACTTCAAAGTAGAATTTTGTTATATTTAAATATAATAACTATATAGTTTTTGTAGGTCAGGCTTTTTGGAAAAAGTTGATATAAGGGATCATTAGAAAGAGTTGATTTCAAATCTACCTTAATTATATACTTTTTAGATTTAAATAACTCAATAATTTTTAATAATGAACAATTAGTTGCAATTAATAATAGAACATCTTTTAAATATTTGAGAGCATAGTTTTTAACTAACAGAAAGCCAACATTAATATAAAAAAAAATAATAACAGAAATCTAAAAAAATTGCAGTTTGCCAATATAACAAAAAAACAAGCAATCTATATTATAAATAGTGTTATTATTTTATATTTTACTTATTGTTTATACTTCTTATTTCTCTTTTTTTCACAACTAAATTCTCTTAATAGAGCCTGTATACAACTAGTAAAACACAAAGCAAGGCTGGCATGAGGGGTTTCTAACTTTTTCTTATATAATTCAGATATATATGCACTAATAGATCTAGCTTAAATCCAAACTTCAGTACTAGTTACAACACTTTAAAAAAATCTAAATTACTTTAACTTTGATTCATTCTTCTTAAAAATACAGTATATTTACAACAACTACAAGATGCAGCACTTACCAACATTTTAATTTTATCTTAACTCCTAGTTTTTTTACTAATACAAACAAATATGCAAATATGTTAAATGATAATAGCATTATATATATTAGAATTACAAACCTTATATAATTGTGATAATTGGTTATATCTAAAAATGTTTTCAAACACACTTATAAATTAAATACTTTAAAATTACTCTAAAATCTCTTATTTTTTAAAAAAACTAAACAATCACAACATTATAAGCATAGAACAGTTTTTAAATACAACAAATACAGAACTCTTAATATAAAATAACTTTTATCACAATATTAAAAAAATATTTTGGAGCCAATATTTCTATTGGTTTTAATTAATACAAGACCTAATAACTGCATTTGCAAATTTATCTTTAACTTTTTCAAAAATAAATCTATATACATTGACCAAATAAACACCTAGCAAGAAAGGTTGAATAATTACAAAAAATATGATTTTTAAAAGAATATACAATCCTTTTACAATAATTTCAAAACTTGATATTATATTATATAATCTAACAATACATTAATAGCATGCCAAGGATGCATTTTTAAAAACAAGCCTTACTTATCCAAACACTGTTATTTTAATATAACAAAACTAATTTATAACTTTTAAGTAAATTGTAAAAAAAAGATCTATATTGATTTAATTAACTTTAAAAAAGCATTAGCTTTAACTTTATTTATAACAATATAATCTTATAATCAACAATATATTCTAATCTTGTTAGACCACTTTGTGCTTTCAATAATCCTCTGATATCACTTTGGAATATCTTAACTAAAGCCAATATCGATAAGAACAATATAACACTTTATATAACAAATGTTTAACAAAATATAGAAAACAAATCTTATATAGTAGCAAAATGTCATTATTAACACTTCTATATCTTTTTTAGCTGCTTTATCAAACTTTGGTCTTTTTATTAAAATTTTTAATAACATTGTTAATTTTTAAGCTTACCTTTACAAAACTTTGTATAAATATAAAAATATATATCAACAACTCCTTATTTGTTAATCTAATCAATTTTATATAATTTATTCAATTATACAATTATTTTATACTAAATAAGCAACAATATACATATCTTTATCTAATACTAAAAGTAGTAACATACAATTATATATTTACAATTACTCTTGACAAAAAACTTAAAATTCAAGAAACTCAAGATAACATCTTTCTATTAGACTTTATATTACAAAAATTTCTAAATAATCGATTTGTTTCAAAACTTTTTAACAACTTATGCATATATTTATTAAAAATTACAATAAAGCAGATACAACAAATTATAAACAGAAATGGGTGTGGCGACCTAGCAAAGTGGTCAGGTTGTCAACCCTCCAAGTGGTAGGTTGGGTGTTCAAATCCCATCAACAGCGAAAATTTAGATAATCACCTATATAATATTCATATTATGGCAACTGTTACTAACAATTGGGTTAGGATACCTGTAATGGCAGTCACACCAGCATGACTGGCAGGTCATAGGGCATTCGTGTAACAGGTCACATGACATTGTCCTTTGGGACAAGGTTGTGGTTACATGAAGGAATGCAAACCAGCAATAGGTGGTGCAAACACTAGATAAGTCCTTGTGGCCATGTAAATCCATTGAAATTGGGTAACAAGAAGTCTATTTGGGAAGACCCGAGTAAAGAGGTAGCTAGATCTTTGACAGCTCTCTGTAAAGGCTAGCCTGGAAAAACAGAAACCAAGGTCATTATACCCAGTCATAGTAGCCAAACAGACAAGAATCTCTGGGTTGGAGGGCTTGGAGGTACTACCAACCAGGCCACTGGAATGAACCAAAGGAAAAGGATATTAGGCCATCCTGATATACTGATAGACTGGTTATAGTTTACACAGGCTATCTGGATTGGAAGTTTGGTAAAAAAGGCTGGACAAAAGGTAGGGGTATACTAAAGTACCAGAGTTATGCTATGAAGTAGATGCTAGGGTCTAAGTGAACTCTACAAGGGCATAGCAGTTTAATGGTTAGCTCAGACTACAAATATTGGTTTTGCTATAATGATACCTAGGTTAGCTATAAAAATAGATACAGAAGGCTCTGAAGGGTTTACCTTAAGGATAAATTAGTCCTAAGGTTGAGATGATGATCTAAGCATCTGGGTATAACCTAGTGAGTTAATACAGATTATAGGTTCAAAGAGTTTAAATTGGAACATCCAAGCAGAAGTATTAGATATGACAATTGGTAGGAAACCTTTAGGTGAACTTCTTAAATAGGTAATATAGAAAAGTTATACATATAGCCAATTGTACACTCTTCTGTAGTAGTTTATTGAACCACAATACTGATAAGTAATTAATAAAAGTCAAAAAACCAAAGAGGTTATCTTAATATCAAAAAAAAAAGACTAAATTAAATATATTAATTATCAGGAATAATGCTAAAAGCTAAGGTCTTAATTTGAAAATATAAACTCTTTAAAAAAATTTATCTATACTCTTTTATTATAAACACTAACTCTAAATTCTAGCCTAACTATAACAAAAAAATAAACAAAACACCTTCAAAAAAATTTAAAATTTCATAATAAAAAAGATTAAAATTTTTAGCATTATTACTGACATTAATTAAAATACTTGAACTATATGATTATCTATTACTAGCAATAACTTTATTAATTAGAAATGATGTAAATTATAATTCAACATATTTAAATTTATACAAATTCAATTTCTAATTAGAATATTACAGCATTACAACATTGCAGCATTGCAGCATTATGATACAAAAGTTTTATAGCAATTGCTATAATTAATTCTATCACATAGTAAAATGCTGTAATAGCATAATTTAGTAATTCTACCAATAATTATATATTTAATTACTATTTAACTATATTTTAGAATATAGTAGTTGATTAATAGTGTTACAATACCATGGCCTTCTTAACAGCAGTACTATAACAATGACACAGCTACAGGGATCCTTTACAGGTTTATAGCGGTGTCCAAGAGATAAGTATAATTCCTTAGTCTGTAAGAAACTATACCCTTCTCTCTGAGG